TGCACTATTTCTGGCAGTCTGCAACCCCCTTTAGATTTTGAGGAGAAAGGGCTGCATGGGAATCTGGAAGACAATTGCTGTTAACTGCCCTGGAGTGGATCTTAACCCATGGCAGTGACCCTTTGGATGAGAGATCTCCGCCCTGATTGGGTTCCCATTGGGTGGGGTATAAATAAATTTTATTATTATTTATTATTATTAAGAAGCCTCTCTGTCCTCCGCTGCTCTCCTTAAATCCTGCAAACCCTTCATAAATAAATCCCCATAGGGACCTCCTTCATAAGAGAGTCCCTCCATCTATTATGGCAGCATCTGGCCTTCCTCTCTTCCTCCTTCCTTCCCTCCATCTTTCCCAGCATTATTGTCTTTTCCAAAGAGTCCTCTCTTTTCTTAATAATAATAATAATAATAAATTAATAATAATAATAAATTTTATTTTTATACCGCCCATTGGTAACCCAATCCGGGCGGTTTACAGCATAATTTTTTTTACATGCAACATAAAACAACATATGCCCTCCCCCCCTTAAAACATTATTAAACCTCATTATAGTTAAAACCATAATTAACAATTTAAAAGAAGAATTAAAATGAATACAGTGCAATCATGACCCCTGTAACTTTCTTCCAAAAGAACAGGGGTTCTAGAGGTTCTACTGAGGGGGGCGGGGGGAGCCTGAGGCCGGGATATTTAGTCCGGAAAGGCCTGCCAGAAGATGTGTCTTGATGTGTCCAAAGTACGACAGCCTCAGTGTGGTCATCTTGGCCTCTTCCAGGGAGGTTTCCGGCTTGATCTGTGTAATAATAATAATAATAATAATAATAATAATAAAATTTATTTATATACCGCCCTCTGGTTTCCCAATCCGGGCGGTTCACAACATAAAATGCAATACAAAATACAAAATACAAAATATTCCCCCCCCCACCCTTAAAACAGTATTAAACCATTATTGATTTAAAAAGACTCTATTAATTAAAATCAATGCATGAAATTCCAATCATTCTTGTAACTTGATATATATATATATATATATATATATATATATATATGTATGTGTGTGTGTGTGTGTGTCAGAATCATGGCTGCGTACATGAGTTCTGTCAGGTGTTGTGTTGAGTTGGGAGCAATTGTAGTTGATTGGGGATTATGGGTGGGTTAGTA